ATGGTTTAATTGGTTTAATATTTTTATTTTTACTTCACACATTCTTTTGTTTTTCTTATTCTTATTATTTCCATTTTATTATTAGCATAATATAAGTGGAAAGTTATTTGAAAAATGGTTTAATATTTTTATTTTTACTTCACACATTCTTTTGTTTTTCTTATTCTTATTATTTTAACATTTACCATTTTATTTATTTCTTTTTTTTATTCTAAAACTTTGAATTTTGAATCAGATTTTGAATTCTACTTCTACAAAGTCATCCTCTGTCCTCACTTTGTCTAAATTTTAAAATCTAATTTCTATAATCTTGATGTTGAACAAGAAAAGTGAAAGGTCATGCTGTTTGTCAACTATTCAGTTATTGAACATTAGTGTCTTTTTCATATTGCTGTGGCTGCTATTTTATAAAAACTTGCCTACACAATACCTCTAAACTGTGAGAAATTCACTGTAATGTATGGCCTCTTGTGATGTATGGCTTCCATATATGTTTTAAGGATAGAAATAGATCTGACATATACATAACAGACAAGCTTATGGTTTTTATTTGTCCATATCAGCCATAAACCTAATCTAAACCTGTTTTCCTCCTGATCTTTACCCATACCACCATCCAAAGCCCCCTCTCTCTTCCTCTTCTCTTTTCTCTCTTCCTTCTGATAAGACTCTCTCTGGTCTCAGGCCCATTACCCAATGGCGAAAGGGATAATTGTCGTGGAAAGAGCCGGGTGTACGTTTGATGTGGACTTCGACTTCCTTTTGATGTAAAAATGTATCCACTGTGATTATCAAGATTATGGCTTCCTCCCCCTCCTCTTCCTCATTCCCTCGCCCTTTCCATTCCTCCATTAAGTCGTGAAGATTAATTGGAAACAGCCCGGTCTGATGGCTGAAGTTGATGCCGCTGTCTTCGTGGCTCTCGGGTCGATGAACTCGTGTTGGGGCAGCATCCTTTCTCACATACTCTCCCTCCTCCTCTCTTTACAGATACTGCATACAGAGTACTTATATCAGTGTTTCTATGGGCATTTCTAGTTTTTGAAAAAGAAATTAGTACTTTTATTCAGCAAGGACACATTACATTGATCAAAAGTGACATTTATAATGTTAAAAGATTTCTATTTTTAAAGAAATTTTGTTTTGTGAACTTTCTATTTATCAAAGAATCCTGAAAAAGCTGGGCTATAATTGAGTATATGTATACTGTAGTCTGGGTTGTATTTTCTTTTACCTTGTGAGAATAAGGGGATGTAATGTAACCTGTCATGTGGCATCTGTCTAATTAAACTGTTTCTACCAAGTGACAGATGAATAAATGATGAATTGAGTTTGACAGATGTGTAAAAACTACCCTGAAATTATACTTAATCGAAAGTATAAAGTGAAAATTACAAGTATCTGGGCAAAAACATACTTCAGTAAAACTAAACAAGTACAACTTTAAATTGTACTTAAAGGGATAGTTCATCCAAAAATGAAAACCACGCGATTTCCATGGAAACCCAGGTGAAAAAGACGTAGTATTAAATGTATTAAAAATATACTTGAAATTCAAGTAGTATGTTTATAATACATTTGTATTCCCATCATGCTTACTTGAAGTGCAATTAAAATATATAGAATTGCATTTTAATATATTTCTAAAAAGTATACTAGAAGTACTTTTGTATTAAATATATGCTTAGTTATACTTCTAAGAAATATGCTAAACAGAAGCATACTTT